ATTAACCGGAGGCCTAGCCCAAATTGCTGCTTTTTTGCCTATTTCAGTGTTTCGCAGAAAAGGAATATCAAACGGAGTCCAAACGGAATGAAACCTTCGGGAGCGTGATTTTTGGAACAAACGTGATCCAGAGGACTTGGAGTGAACGTCAAGAAACGAACGAGGTGGCCACGAGGCAGGGGGCACGCCTACCCCCCTGGGTGCGCCCTCCCCCCTCATGGGCCCCTCATGGCTCCATCGACCTACTTCTTCCTCCTATATATACCTACGTACCCCGAAAACATCCAGGAGCACCACGAAACCCTATTTCCACCGTCGCAACCTTCTGTACCCAGAGATCCCATCTTGGGTCCTTTTTGGAGCTCTGCCGGAGGGGGCATTGATCACGGAGGGCCTCTACATCAACTCCATGGTCCCTCTGATGATGTGTCAGTAGTTTACTTCAGACCTTCGGGTCCATAGTTATTAGCTAGATGGCTTCTTCTCTCTCTTTGGATCTCAATACAAAGTTCTCCTCGATTCTCTTGGAGATCTATTCGATGTAATCTTCTTTTGCGGTGTGTTTGTCAAGATCCGATGAATTGTGGGTTTATGATCAAGTTTATCTATGAACAATATTTGAATCTTCTCTGAATTCTTTTATGTATGATTGGTTTATCTTTGCAAGTCTCTTCGAATTATCAGTTTGGTTTAGCCTACTAGATTGATCTTTCTTGCAATGGGAGAAGTGCTTAGCTTTGGGTTCAATCTTGTGGTGCTCGATCCCAGTGACAGAAAGGGAAACGGCACGTATTGTATTGTTGCCATCGAGGATAAAAAGATGGGGTTTATATCATATTGCATGAGTTTATCCCTCTACATCATGTCATCTTGCTTAAGGCGTTACTCTGTTCTTATGAACTTAATACTCTAGATGCATGCTGGATAGCGGTCGATGTGTGGAGTAATAGTAGTAGATGCAGGCAGGAGTCGGTCTACTTGTCACGGAAGTGATGCCTATATACATGATCATACCTAGATATTCTCATAATTATTTTCTTTTCTATCAATTGCTCGACAGTAATTTGTTCACCCACCGTAATACTTATGCTATCTTGAGAGAAGCCACTAGTGAAACATATAGCCCCCGGGTCTATTCTCCATCATACAAGTTTCCAATCTATTTTATTTTGCAATCTTTAATTTCAACCTATATCATAAAAGTACCAAAAATATTTATCTTATTATTATCTCTTTCAGATCTAACTCTTACAAGTGCCCCTGAATGGATTGACAACCCCTTTATCGCGTTGGTTGCGAGGTTCTTATTTATTTGCGTGGGTACGAGGTGACTCACGCGTGGTCCCCTACTGGATTGATACCTTGGTTCTCAAAAACTGAGGGAAATACGTACGCTGCTTTGCTGCATCACCCTTTCCTCTTCAAGGGAAAACCAACGCAGTGCTCAAGAGGTAGCAACGTGCGGTGCACCATGATCCTTGGTCTCCTTCCCCCACATGTAGGCGTACCGCGTCACCAGATCATTCTTGTCGAGTGATGGCGGATGGAAGACGATTTTCTCCCTCTGGTGCGCTGTGCTGGCTTCCCTCCTCTCCTCTGCCTACGGGTCGAGTAGCTTGTTTTGGGCCTTCTTCAGCGCCATAACGGCTTCACGGGAGTGGATTTGGTGGCAAGCAAAGGTGTAGCGCAACGGCAAGGGAGAGCTCTACCCTATCGCAAGGTTGAAGACGATGGTGGTGGCGAGAATGGAGATTGGGGAAGTGGATGAGCAGCGCTCCTACAGATTCCCTTTTGTATGGGGAAGGCACGGGGGTTGGTTCACCACCACCTAACGATGTCTGCATTTTTACAGGTGCACGGACCCATTTGCCTTTACTTTCCACTTCCCCCACGTCTCGCATTTAATGTGCATCGTGGGCGTGCAGTAAAAATCATGATTACATCAGTAATTATTTGCCATGTGCGTCTGTGTATTTTTTTGGGCCTAGCCCAAGGACGCCTTGCACGCGTGTGGCCCAGGCCCGGGGGCTCATGTTGGTGTACTAGAACATGGGTGCTTTAGTACACTGACTTATGCACAGACAATAGTAGCCTTCCCGATAGCAAGGGCTTACCGGAGAATGACCCTGAAGAACATTCAAGACTTGGTTGCTAAAACCATGAAGAAGACCTCTAGGCAGGTGATCGAGAAGTCTTAAGGAAATACTGAAAGTCAATACTGGAGTTCCGGCAAGCTACACACCGGCAAGCGAAGACCCGGCAAGCTCTATCCAGCAAGCTCCCTCTGTCTCGACCGCTCCACCTCAGCGATCAGCTAGTCGCTTGACAAATAGCTGTTGAGTGCACAGACAGTTAGGTGAGGCTTGTTGAGGTACGTGTCAGCACGCCGCCTGAAGATCAGCTTTAATGATATCCCAGAGGCGTGCCAAGATAATAGGAGGTAGCTGAGCGAACGACATAGAAGGTAAGACACTTCCTTGCCGAAGCTTACCCAGCACAACACCTCAAGGCGCATTTATTGCTTTTGTCCTAATCCGTCAGGGTTAGGTATGATAGCACTGTAGCCACTATTCACTTGATGCAATTACTATTTTACCATTGTGGTGAACCCTTCGCCTATAAAAGGAGGCCCATGGTTACCTTTAAAAAGGTCGACACTTTGCTCATTTACGCATAGTAGCCGCACTTCCCGCACACTCTTGCCAGCAAGCTGCGCTCCATTGTAACATGAGCTCATACACATCAATACACCAGAGCAGGAGTATGGTTTTACGCCTCACGGCGGCCTGAACCTGGGTAAACCTTGTGTGCCTCTGCTGGATCTGCTCTCTGTGTTTGTTGATCCCCACAGCCGAACTACAAAGGGGCCTTTGCCGGTCCCATAGATTGTCATACGCACGACACTAGGCCTCATAATCCTCTACCTAGGGTGATTGTTCCTCGAGGAGGCATTCCGAAAGATATCATTGTCACCACAATTTTTATGGGTCATAACTCTCATGTTAAATCAAATCCTTCGGGGCATTCACCTACTCACAAACACATTAGTCCTTTAATTGTTTTGTCACATCCAAAAAGCCTCAGGGGCACTACTTGCACTTATATAAGACACTATTAACATGATCAAACCCATGCTTTTATTTCCATATCTTCTACTAATGCAAGTGTCAACAATGAATAAATTTATTTATGATATGAAATACAACATGTTTATGTAATGAAATCTCCCTGCGTGATCGCAACTTCATTTATTAATGTTATTGAAGTTATTGTAGATCTATTCGTATCTTCTCCTCTCAAAGGAAATACTACCATGGTGCATATGTAAAAACTATATATGGGGAATCTAGTGGACTAGTACAGAAGTAACATTTTCTTAGTACAACAAAAAATATTTGTTATTGTTTGGAGATAGGTATATCTCATTTGTAGCCCTTATATTTTATATTATCAGAGTTATTGTAGATCTTGGCTTATCTTCATCTAGAAGGATCGGTTTTCATGGTGCATGTAAGCACAATATACACGAGAGTAATTAAAGGACTACAATACAAGTAGCATTTTCTTGGTATAAAAATTTATTTATTATTATTACTTGAAGATAGGGATATCACATTTCTCACCTCTTAACATGTAATCCATCACTACATAATGACTAGCACATAAATATCTTAAACAATTATATGGATTTGTTTCTGTTGGGAGATAGATATAAATGATTCTCTAATTACTTCCCTTGTTTCATG